TATAGGATAATGTTCTTGTTATTTGTGCTATTGTTCATCTTTTTTTTCTTTCTAAGTTTATCATAATTTGCTTATTGTGTGGTTAGTGAAACTATCATTAATTAATGTTTCTTTTATATTTTTGAGTTTGCTATAGAAATTGCACATGCAGACAATATTAAATGTTCCTGATTTATTAAGTTAATTATTATCACTCTTTTGTATCTCTTTTGTCTATTCACTATTGTTATTAAGTAGGTATTGTCCGAATTAAAGGTGAGGAAATGAATATAGATATTAAACTGAAAACTTTTGTTGGTTTTCCAGTAAACTTTCTACATATATATACTCCAGTTCAAAAGTCTGAGGAAACCCTTGATAATTTTTTAAATTGGCCCAAAAAGTAGTTGTTTTGTAGTTTAAATAAGAGAAAATTATTATACATGATTAAAAAAAAAGTGAGATATGATTTTTTATTATAAATTTTATTTGACAAAAAGGAAAAAAGCATTTTATGATTAAATTTTACTCTCGTCAAAATATCCTCCTTTAGCCTTGATTAATGCAGCATAAATTTTTGGTATTCATTGCAAAAGTTTCTCAAAGTATAAGTTTGATAATTGATTCCATTATTTTTTCAATGATACTAAGAGCTCTTTTTCAATTTTTTTTTTTTTTTCACTCTTTTGTCAAGTTCATCTCATGTTAAGGAATGGCTAAAAACTTTTGAAATGTAGTGTGTATATCGTATAATAAAAGCAAAATTCAGAGATGCTATAAATCCAGTGCTCAATGCAAGATATCCAAAACGGAGCAAATATAAAATATATGAGAAACCGTATTTAAATGTTATTGTTGTCTACAACTTTTTATGAGTATCTATTGTAGTACCTTATGCTGTCAGAAGATTGGGTAACAGCAAAATTATCATCCCTATGTCCATATGAAGCTTATAGTCACAGACAGCAGTAACATCTAAGTAATGTTTCTAATAAATAATATGCTGAGGTTGCTAAGATCTACAGTAAGAATAAATATCCTGATTCATTTTATTTGTTAATCTCTTATTGTGCCTAAGATCTACTGTATCTGTTGTATTAATTTTATTACAATTTATTGCTAAAATTCCTCTATAACATCATTAAATATTTGAACTTAGCAGCTTTTACAAAATATTGCAATGCTAATCATTAATACAAATGTGGGTTGTTATTTTAGAAGTAAGGGGATACAAATGAAAAGATTTGAAATTGGCAACTTTTTCCATTTCACAGAAATAGATATTAAACATTTCTATCTTCCCTTGTTTCTTTCATTTTCTCACTGAAACCAAGCATCACTTTTGATATTTCTTTTCTATCTTTTTATGTAAACAGAATATGCCATTATTTATGAGTTGTAACGGTTGTGCTAAGGAAGAGACAAGCAGAAGTATAATAAGATAATTTATAAATTAAACTTTATCATTTGGTATGTATCAAGAAAAAACAGACTTTATATAGGGTTCACTTGCATTCTACAGTTTCAGGCATCTGTTGGGTGGGATGAAAGGATCTTGGAATGGTTCCCTCATAAATAAGAGAGGACTACTGTATAAAAAATAATCAAAAATTACAGAAGCAGTTTCTAACTTGACTATCATGAATTTTTATTTCAAGAGTACTTAAATTTAATCTCTGCTCTAAATGAATTTAATCTTTGTTTGGCTTATGACTGAATAAGAAGTGGGGTGGGCTGTGGAGGATAAAGATTGTAGCACAGTCTGCCACATGAGGTGATCCTGCCTTCCTTGAGAATTAACTTATGAACTTCTTGCTCTTAACTGATTTCAAATGCTACTGGGGGAATTGTATAATTATCTCAAGTCAGAGACACACCCTAGAATCTACTTTTTATTCATATGTAGGCCCCACCCACAAGAACCTTATTTTATCAAAAATTAAAAGCAAATGAAAATATTTAATTTTTCAAAAATCTTATCTTTTAATTTCACAAGTTGAAAAAGTTTAAAATACTTTCTTTAGATAAAAATAAACTTTGTTCAAAATTTCTGATATCAAAAATTAATTTTAGTTACACAAAGATAGGAAAATCATGGAAGCCTTCAACATAGGTGTATATATGTGTATGTGTGTTGACATAATGTCAACACACACATACGCATATATACATTTTCATATATACATATAATATGTATATATGAAAATGTAAAATCAACCAATCTAAACATTATTACTGTGCAGAAAATTTGATCCTCACTGTGTGCCCTCATGCAAAATTCAGCATTAAATAACCCACCAAGGATTGACATGTAAAATCAACTAACGTAAACATTACTACTGAGTAGTAAGTTTGATCTTCACTGGGTGCTCCATGCAAAATTCAGCATTAAACCCAACAAGTGTTAACATATTGTAAAATCAACCAACATAAACACTACTATTATATTATATGTAATATTTCTATTGTCTATTGAGGAAAAATGCATTTACACTGATGCAGAATGTATAGTTAATAGTAGTTGATACCACCATACCTTGACATCATGGAAATGTCCAGACTGATGTCGATAGTGCTCTGATATTTGGTAAGTGTGAACACTGGCTAAGCTACTCTTAGCAAGATGATGTGAATTATCAAAGTTTGAATGAGGCATGACAGTTGGTACCAAACAGACTGGACATTCCATTTCTGGAATTGTGGGCAGCTTTTGATGTCTCTTGGTTTACCATGTCACTGTGTATTTTGATGGATAGCAGCTTAGAATGAGAAATCTAGAGAGCTGTGTTTGAATTCCAGTCAAGTTTATTGCATTTACTTATGTGCAAATATCCACAGGAAAGGTATGAATCCATCTCACTCTTTTCCCTCACCCAGCTATGGGTTAAAATGTAGCAAAACTGGTCTTTTTTAGCTGTTGTTGGTAACCAGTTTAGAAGAAACACAACTCTGAATTTAAAACTGGCTGGGAATGGCAGCTAGCAACTCCATCCCATAAAAACCTACCACTTGATATGGAAATCATAACATTCTGAGAGTAGTGGCCCCATACTCCTCAGGGGGTCTACGTGACTTGAGCAAGTGCCATTGTGTACTGGGTATGCCTAATGTAATGCATTACTGCTCACAAGTTCTTAATGATCATGACCAGAATTGTCTGCAGTAACAGATAATTGACACTGCCTCAAATCATATCCACATTCAATGCAGGATGTACTAATGCACATCCTATAGTATGATGCAATGTGTGATAGTCCCAGTTGTTTTGGGTTGATGGTAGGATTCAGATGTAGTATAAACCTGATGAAGCCATGCACTGCAGTTATTAACAAGATACCATGCAGGCTACTGGTGTGGGATGTTCCTCATAATACTAGGCAGCAAACTCATGGGTTTTGGCACATCAGTGTAGTTTTACACAAGAAATATCTATTTTTCAGCATGATCTTCTTTCTTGTTAATGCCCTTAATTCATTGATTAATATTAATCAAATAGATCAAACATTATATAGTGAAAATTTCAGACCAAGATCCAAAGTTATATGTCGGGTGATGAACTTGCTCATCAATTTGTAGTTGTGCATGTGTATTCTGAAAGTAATGATGTTTTACCAGAAAGGATATAAAAACAAAAAGAAACTCATCTGAGTCCATCCTTCAAATCTATAAATCAACCATCCATCCTTACATGGAATATTGCTGTTATATGTGATCTGGTGCCCCTGCTGTACATCTTGAGGTCCTCGACAAAATCCAGAGATGAATGTGCAATGTGATAGGTCCTGATTAGGAATCTCATCTACAGTCGCTTTCTCACAGATGTGTCATGGCTTCCCTCTGTCTCTTCCACAAGTATTTTCATGGCAACTGTTCTGACAGCTACTTTCACTAGTTCACAGACTGCATGAATTTAAGTGAGCTACTAGGCTGGCATCTTGGTCCCACCCTTCCACTGTTGAAATGATTAAATATAACCGTCTCTTCTACTCAAACAGCTTCTTCTCTCGCACTTCCTGTCTGTGGAACTCCCTTCCTCTTGCTTGCTTCCCTGATAACTAAAATCTTCAAATATTCAAGTGTAATGCCAATCAACATCTGATATCTTGTTCCCCATCTTTCTCTGTGTCCTTTCCTCAAACATGCCTCTTTACTCTTGTTCTCAATCCTCTGTAACCCCTTGTGGCACTCCTGCCTTGCTTTGGGTGAATTGCTTAAAAAAAAAAAATTAAATTTATTGAGATATTATGGCATTTGGAAAGTAAGAAAGGATATAAAACAAATGCAAATATTTATTTAAATATCATGCATCAAAAAGTTAATTGTCTTTATTTTCAATGACTGCCACCCAACAGGAGGGCAAAGATTTGATTCTACATTTAGAAAAATGTGGATTTTTCTAAAAAAAATATGTTTGAAAGTCTGATTTAAACTACCTTCTTTCTGTATGTTCTGCCATTTACATAATGCTCTCGTGACCAAAATGTATGAAAATCTGTAGTTGACTAAACCTGGTGAATTTTTCTTTGGCTTGTTTTGTCACAGTGTTTAATAATGGTTTTGTCACATCGTAGAACAATACCTTTTAAAACTGTTTACCAGAGCTGCACACTTTCAACATCATGTTTTGTTTACCTTCTCAATTTCTTGGCAATAAACACCTGCGGTGATAGTCCTCTGTTCCAGTCATCCACACTGGATGTCTCCTTTCATATTACTCCTCTCCTCTGTACATGCTGATTTTCATATATGTGAGTATTTAATTTAGCTCATAGGGCAGAACAGCCAGCCTGCTTTGATAATTAACATTTTAAAAAGAAATGCTGTTTTTTTTTTATTTGGCCTCAAGCCCTGACTACAGATACCTGATTGGTAATCAGCAATATCTTGGAATTAGAAAGATTTTGGTCATATTTATGTTTGCTATTCTTCAAAATCTTAAGAATTGTTTTTGTTTGGAAAAAGAAAATGATTTGTTTATGATATGGATTTTTTTCAAATAAATTTTATTTTATTTGTAGAGAATGACTGAAGAAGAGTCTGAAAGATTACTCCCCATTTCAAATCCTGCAACAGAAGCAAATGTACAAAGCAGGCTATTTCAAAAATACAAAATTAAATCATACCTCATAAAGAAATTCCCTATTATCCAATGGCTTCCAAATTATCGGTAGGTATGAAATGGAATGAATACATTCTTACTACCTGTTTATAAACTTTTTTTCTTTTTTCCAAATTTGAAAATTATGAATTTTTCAGAATCAACTTCTCTTTTTCTTTCCCTATAGTTGCCCAAGTGAAAACTACAAGACAAATATATTTTTGTCCCCCCACAGTCATGATTATATATATATATATATATATATATATATATACACACACACACTTTGGCAGAATGCTTAAAGTATACATCTCCAGCAGAATGTTTAAAGTAATAATAACACAGACACACACACACACACACAGACACACACACACATATATATATATATTGCTTCAAATGTTATTAGACTTCAACATCCTCAAAGCCCTTGCATGGAATGCATGTAACAAACTTCACAAGATCTCAAGGTACTCAAATCTTCCATTCTCTTTAAAAATCCAAACTTTTTGAACACTGATTGAACCAGTCCTATTGTATGGATTAGAAACTTGGACATTATCTGTTCATCTTGAAAGATAACTGGATGGATCATATACAAATCTGCTTAAAAAAATCAAGAACATCAATTGGAGATGCCATGCAATGCTTAACACAATTTATGGAGAACTAAGACCAGTCTCTCTTAAGCTCAAACAAAAACAATTGCAGTTTGCTAGCCACTGTCACTGAGCGGACGGGGAGGTCATCTCATCCTTACTTCTATGGCATCCTTCTGGAGGTGTCTTCTCACTAAAGTTGACTTTCCCAGACACCATAGCTTGGGACTCAAGGTTGGACATTGAGGATCAGGGCACAGCAATGCAGGACTGAGCAGTGTGGAGAGGGATTGTTAATTGAGTTCCGACCAACCACAGAGAGGCCAAAGGATGATGATTATTAGTGGATATCCATGTTTGAAATAAATGCCTCATTTTTTTAATTTTTTATTTTAGACAATGTGTATTTTGTCAATCAGCCTGGTCACCTGAGAAAACTTACTAAAGAAAATCTGCTCTCAGGAGCACATTTCATCAGCAGCTTCAGGACAATTATTGGGTTTATTTGCTTCATTTCTATCTATGAATTGGCTTTAATTACTCTCCATTTTCATGTCAGTGTCAGAAAACTCAGAACAAAAGAGGTTTCTTGTGAGATATCTCATCAATTATCCCAGGAATCATAAATCCAATCCAATTCCCTACCAGAGTAAGAAGATGGAAGTTAAGAAAATACCAACTTGTAAAAGGCTGAAGGCATGTGTTTGCTGACACCCTTTGTAGTGAATAAAGTACACGTCTCCATTATGAAATTGTGGCCAACTCTTTCTATTTTGTTATAATTCAGCTTCTTCCTTCCTTAGTTACTTAATTAGCACTGGGTATGACTATAAACTAAATCTGCGTCCTGGGTAAGACGATAAACTACATCCAACAGCAAGGCCTCTGATCAGGAGGTTTTGAGGAGTGTGGAACCACCTCTTAATTGCTGGTGTTCCCAGGTCCACCCTGACCCAGGGTGGTAACACTTGTTAGAGTCCCAACTATGGGCAAATAGTTAACCCCCAAACTGGGGTCAAAACACTATGAAAGTGTAAAAATAGGTTTTACTACCAGCAATAAATTTTTTGAGGAAAAATTATTACCGGCAATACATATTACCAGCAATACATTTTTGAGGAAAAAAGTATTACCAGCAATATATTTTTGAAGAAAAAAGTATTACCAGCAATAATTTTTGGAAAAAAATATTACCAGCAATAAAAATCTTATCGACATTAAATAACCCATTGAGGTTGATATGCTGTAAAACAAAACAAAACAAAACAAACATAAACCCCACCAATACTTCTTAAATAATGGACTATTCCAATTTGATCATGTGGAAAGACAGAAAAGACAAATCAGTGATGCTGTTTGGTTTTAATAAGTAAAAGAAAGAAATGCCCTACAAATACTTCATAAGATGGAAAAGCGACATTGTTTGATTTCAGTGAGAAAAAGAAAGAAACATCCTATCAATACTTCATAAATAACTTACATTTCCATTTTGATCATGAGGAAAGACAGCAAAGACATATCAAAGACATTATGCATTTCAATGAGAAAAAGAAAGAAACACCCTATCAATACTTCATAAATAATGGACTGTTCTGTTTTGAATGTGAGGAAAGACATATTAGAGATGCTGTTTGATTTCAGTGAGAAAAAGAAAGAAAATATAATTCAAACTGGAAAGCCATGAAATTTTCACATTACTAGTCATGTATAATAATAATGTTTGAAGGACTAATCTGAATTTATTGCCTAGAGGATTTGCATGCATTCAAACTGGCATGTGGCCAATGCTTTTAAATGGACATTCCAGTTGAAAAAGAGTGTCACAGAAGCAGGGAAGGGACAAAGTTATCAGTGACCCTGTGAATAGTTTGCTGTATAGTTCAGAGAGAACCTTTGTGTGCAGTTGTGATCATGTTAGTGTAGATGTAACTGCATCATTTTATTTGAGATTATTGTCAGCTACTTCCATTATGAAAATAAAAGATAATCTTTTATGGATTCACAACATACACGCTTGGCAATGTTTTATTCTGAGTTAATAAAAGAATAAACTTCATGGAATAGTCTCTGTAATATTGTTGCATGATGCTTGTTAGTTTGGGTAAATATTTACTCACTATTATGTTGCAGGAATCAACACTTTGAATAGTAAATATTTACAATCTCCTGGAAAATTTATCCCACAAACAATATTAGCAGACTCAGTATGAGTCCAGGTAAAAAAAATTAAAATAACAAAAAAATTAGTATAAAACAAACAACAATGCATGTATTAACACAACAAATTGCATGTGATGAAAGGAAAAAACAAACTAGATATAAGAATATGTGTGTGTGTATAACAAGTGTGTGAGTGTTGTAGAGTGGTTTCACAGTGGAGGCTTGTATTTGTACTAAGTCGGTCCTAAAATAGGTTCAACATACAAAACGTTAGGAACTTGATATAATAGGTAATGACGCAGAGAAATCTAGTGGTGGTCACTGATACTTTTAGTATCCAACTAACGGTCGTCCGACATCAACTGACTGACCAACTCACTGAGCGACTCCTCGTTACTCTTACTACTCCTACTTATTATAGGTGGGAGAGTCTATTAACTATAGAATAGGTGTGTTCTATTATAACAGTGAGAGAATACAAAAGTCAAGAGAGAAAGCCATGAAACAAACATACTCCAGTGTGAGACACTTTACTCATGTGCGGCTACATGAAAAAAAGCTAAAAAGCTGTAAAAGAGGCTAAGGAGAGATATGCATGCCTTTTTATATGGTTAAGGAGCACCCACTAGTGACAGTTTTTTAGCAATGTCAAGTGGAATAACCCACAATATTTAAAAAAAAAAAAAAAAAAACTTTTTCATCATTTTAATTGTCTAAAGAGTATCAGCATGAAAATATTTATCAGCTTTTGAAATGTTAATTTAGACATTTAATTTATATTGAGAGTAAAAATCAAACCATAAAACTTGATGACAATAAATATGTTGGTTTCAAGGAAAAAGGTCCACACTTCAGTCAGTCAGTTGTGTGTCATGCGTGATGCATGCTTAAGTGATCACGTATCTTTCAATACATGACTAACAAGGCAGATTTTTTCCTGCAGTAGGTTGCCATTTCTTTCTGCAGTAAACCAGTTGCCATCCAAGGCTCTAGAACTCAGTCTGTCCTGCTATTTACCCATAGCTGGGAGGAAGAGAAGAGGATTTGTACCTTTCACAAGGGTATTAGCATGTAAGTGAATGTAATGGATTTGACTGGAATTCAAACTCAGCTCTCCGAATCCTCAATCCGAACTGCTGTCCATCACTCCACCAACTGATGTTTTATTCCTTATTGATGGATCATAGCAGAATTAACACTGGGGTTGGGGTTATCAAAGTAGAATCAAATGACAAATATATCTCAAAAGTAGAAACAAATGCACAAAATATATTTCAAAGAAATACAAAGAAAACACTTTTCAAACAAAAACGGTAATAATTTGCAACAAACTCAAAGAAATGATAACAAGACACATGGTGTCTTGGAGGAGAATTTCAGAATTAGTAGAGAGTAGATATTTACCATGTTGCTTCGTATGACCAATAATAGGGAAAAGAAAGAAATCTGAGAGGCCTACTGACAGTTCCTTGATGTTTAACACCTCCCTTTCCTTCCAGGTTCTCTTCCTGGATATAAGCAGGTCAGAGGTTAATAATAAAGGGATTAATAGCAGACAAGTCAGTATACATAAAAGTGAATTTGATATCACAAAGTATATAAATAAATTCAATCATAATATGCATACTATCACTTTATTACAACGTTTTGTTTCTTAAAATAATTCTAAGCTTCTTTTGTTGAACTTAAATGTATTTTTCTGTACAGACAATTCTCTACAGACATTCATAGTAGGTTACTGGTAAACATATAACAAGGCCCTCTCCCAAGTTTTCACTGACCGGACATATAAACCACATGTTTCATTTCTATTTATGTTCATGTCAGTGTACACCAACAACTGGGAATGGCTCGTTGCAAGCTCACAAGGAAATGAAAGGTGAAATTAAATGTTACAATGAAAAATGAGGATTTGAACTCTGTTTCCACTAAATTTAGTTGTTTCATTCCAGGATTTTCAAGCACTGCCTATGTGGGTAGGTAGGTGACACTCTAGATGACTTTTATCATTTTTGACATTTAAGACAAACAGATCAGCTCTTCCTCTTAAATCTTCCTCCTACCAACCCTCTCAACATTACTATGAATGACTGGTAACTCTAATGAGTGACAGAACTATCTCAAGGGAAGTTGTAGCATATCTATGAACGATAATGGGTATGCC